TACTATTATAAAGAAGAGGTGGTGTCTGTGTGTGTGTGTTTGTATGAGCTAATCTCAAAAAATACTGATCTGACTATGCTCAAATTGCACACAAATGAAGCTACAGCTCCGAGGATACATAATATAGAACTATTGCCGCTTCGATATTCACCTAGGGCTTTGCCCCGTGGGCTTTCAAAAATCTGAGATGAGAGATTTAAAAGTAAATATTGATTGATGGTATCCATGGTAACAAAGAACAAACCTAGTAAGTTTAAAAATGTAAACAAGCAGAACTAACTAACTGTCAAATTGATTTTGATTTCACAATTCAACACAGCTGGTTCAAACCTTATTAAATACTGCACGAATATTAGAACAGAGAGGGTAAGGATTATAAATTTAAAATAATGATGTCACTAGCCTGAATGTAAACATTATTATTTAACATTACCTAAAGGAGCTGCCAAACCATATGTAAATGTAATTTCATTATTATAGGATTGTTTCGGTAACAGTACTTCATTTGTTTATGATCTAACTATACTGAGTCTGTTTGTTAATTATACTTAAATATACATAATTTTGTGAAATGTTGTAATAATATTTATTTATTTTTATAATAATTCATTGTAAAATAAATCATTCGATGGATATAGGAAATAATCAACATTCTATATTGCCTTATCAACCTAGGCCCTTATCCTGAGTTATGAGGTATATTCTTTTGATTTATTTGTTTGTAAACAGTAATATAATCCCCCTGCCCCAGCAAACCTATAGACTGAGCGAATTCCCGTTTGCCTGATTATAATTTCACTAAAATTTGTTAGAAAACTGCCCTATTAACATGTTTGGAACTATTGTGATAGGTTTTCGTTTACAGTGCAAACCATTAAACACATTCTTTTATTATAGGTATATGTGTGCTACACTATAGGATACCGTATAAATTAAAATACGATATTTTCTTAAACCGTTTCCTCTCCCATCACTGCAATGATCATGTTCTACTTATATGCCAACCCCGTACGAAGGACGGGTATTCTACTAGTTATTAATAAAGTTGAGAATACTAAAGGTTCTACAAAACAAAACATTGAATAATAAAAATACATTTGTATGAAAGTAACAGATAAATTGACAAAATTGTAAAACGATCGTACAATATCTAACAATATCAAATTATTTACAGTATCACGGTTACAACTTTTAAACTACTTTTGTTATGACTCAATGTTAACCTCTTTAGGACATTTCATTTTATGCTTTTGTTAGTGGGGGACTGGTTAAAACACCACAGTAGGTTTTACAAATATGATTGTGAGATGATATTATAATCTGAACTAGATTATGCGTGTTGATAATAATATGTATTTTAATTTAAGTACTTTAATTGATTCGGTTATATGTTTACCTCATATAACATTTGAACATGGATTGAAACATTAGATGTCTTTGGAATACTCTGAGAGTGAGAAGCAAAACATAACTTTCAGCAATGATGCATCGAAATCTACCTTTACTGACTGATTCAGAAATGTAATTGCAAAATATTTTGTCAACATGACTAAAATGTTAAAAAAATAGATGTATCAGCACGAAATAGTTTGTAAGATAAAAAAAAGCAGTCTAGGACAACTTATATAGCGTTCTAACCTCAAACATTGTTATTGTTTCAGTGTACAAATTCAATTGATACAAAATAACTACGTTACCAATTTATGTTTGTAAACAAAAATCAATTTTTTAATGGTTGCGTAATAGCTATTTACATTACAAGTGTAGTAAGAGCGTTTTTACTTCACGCAGGTGAATGTTGTGCAACGAGCGTAAGCGAGTTGCATAATTCACCTAAGTGATGTAAACAGCACGCTCTTGCGTAACGTGTAACGTACAAGATTTTACCTGACCCGACAATAAACATGGGTTTACGTACAATATTTTTCATTATCCATTTCACTCATCTTCTATCAGTAACGTTCTTTTTACTAACAAAAGCTAGGTTAGGTAGGAAAATACTTTAAAGCATAATAATAACATTCAAGCGCACAGCTGATTTCTAGCGTTGAACATCGTTGGCTCCATAGAGTTATATTTTTTAAGTTAAGCACTCAATGTTATTTAAATGGGTTTCTTTACATCACCGAGTGAGTTTTTGATACTTTACATCACTCGAGAAGTAAGGAAGTTGTATACATCACGCTTGGGATAGGGAAGTTTAACATGGCGGGTTAGGTAAAATCAATTTAAATTATTATTTACTACACAAATTATTTGTAATGTAAAACATTGTTCACCACTCGGAGCAAAAGTATATTATTTATGGTACTTAAATTGTTTTATAGTACGTGGCAGTATATAGTATTATTAGTTTATTAGTTGCTTGTTGCACTGTTCTACACACTGCTCAAGCTCTACAACTCATTAAGTGGCATCCTGTCCACACACTGTTGATATATACTGAATTGTGGCATGGTGCCACTATTTCGAGTGTAGGCTGGCGCGAGAATTGGCAACGTAGCATTAGGAAAGTTATAGTTCCGGCGGACGGCGCGAGGCGCGCTAGCTACCTGTATGGTTTCGTGTTCCACAATTCGGTGTGTACCTGCGCTACTTAAACTCACATCAACGAGTTCAAAAATACTCAATTGTGGCATGTGATGTTTAAACGACGTAATAATGCTGGAAAACCTCAAAAATGATCGAATTAGCTGTGGCACCCTGAAAAAGGTGCCACAATTTTTGAAGGATGCCACTATTCGGTGAATACAAACACACACACACACACAGACATCACTTCGAAAACCACTTTTTTGGGTCCAGGGGGACCCAAAACGAATATATCCACTCAAAACTCAAACTCGAAAATTTTGACGAAAACAATACTTTCTCCATATACTATGGTATAGGGGGAGAAAGTAAAAATAGAATATTTATTTTACTTAATTGCCTGTGGATAAACAGTGTTTTTTTTTTCATTAGGTGTATAAACATATACATTTTTAGGCGTAACTACCACCACGTGAGCAGGCAACATACAGCTGTCCGTGTGTAAATCATTCATTTTATAAATTTAAACCAGCGATAGTCAGGCAATGCCCTTATGCCTCATAATGATGATTGCGAAAGCAACACGCAAAGGCTGTTTTTAATCGTCAGTCTGGTTCCGTTGCACAGCTAGGGTGGATTTAAGTTTTGCATTAGTATTATTGGAGTTCCTTCTTTTAATGACAATAATGTGGTGGGTTAATGACAAATTCGGAGGCATTTGAATACCTGAGATAGAGCATGCACAATTATTATTAACTAAAAATTTATGTTAGATTGTGTGGGTATAAAACAAAAGATAAAAATATTATTAAGGCATTGCCATTCCTTTTATTGTTTATAATACTTTGATAAAGATTTTTTTATGTTTACATATTTAATATTGGAGAATTTAAACGTTATTGAGTGCACAGGTGTGCTGCGATTGAGGTTTAATATGTTTAGACTTATCCAAAAGTAAAATGGCTTTCTGTGCTGAATTCTGTGGAAACATCACTTCAAATCATGACTAATATAGAATGTTGTGATTATTTAAACCTACAAAATAGTTGGTGAAAGTAAAACATCTGCTTTTATATTTATTTATATACATTGTAGTTCCAAAATTCTGACATTAGACCCCTTAAAACCCTCTGGGGCGTAGTCCTTTTGACAGATCTGTATGAAACTTCACACAAACCATCCTTGAATAATGTTACCCAACCACCAATAAACTTTCATCAAGATATCATTGCAGCTTAACAATACCTGAAAGTTTCATGACAATCTGTCGGGCAGTTTCAAAGTCCATAGGGTACATACATACATACATACATACATACACACATACTTCCTCTTTTATAGATATAGATGAAAACCAGCACAGTTTATTTTTTTTACAAAGAAAAATTACAGCACATTACCACATGACATAAATAGATTTTTAGATTTTATATTTTTAGCCTAGTAAGCGTGAGTAAGCCTGGAGATGATATGTTGAGCCTAAGCTATGGTGGGGGTCTTGGTGGTCCTATCAGTAACCAGCTCCACCTCTACAATCATCTTACCTGGAGACGATATGTTAAGCCTCAGTTGTGGTCTTGGTAACCAGTAACCAGCTCCACCTCTACAAACATTTTACCTTGAGATGATATGTTGAGCCTTAGCTGTGGCGGTGGTCTTGGTGTTCCTATCAGTAACCAGCTCCACCTCTTCAAACATCTTACCTGGAGATGATATGTTGAGCCATAGCTGTGGCGGGGGTCTTGGTGGTCCTATCAGTAACCAGCTCCACCTCTACAAACATCTTACCTGGAGATGATATGTTGAGCCTCAGCTGTGGCGGGGGTCTTGGTGGTCCTATCAGTAACCAGCTCCACCTCTTCAAACATCTTACCTGGAGATGATATGTTGAGCCTCAGCTGTGGCGGGGGTCTTGGTGGTCCTATCAGTCAAAAGGTCCACCTCTACAAACATCTTACCTGGAGATGATATGTTGAGCCTTAGCTGTGGCGGGGGTCTTGGTGGTCCTATCAGTAACCAGCTCCACCTCTTCAAACATCTTACCTGGAGATGATATGTTGAGCCTCAGCTGTGGCGGGGGTCTTGGTGGTCCTATCAGTAACCAGCTCCACCTCTACAAACATCTTACCTGGAGATTATATGTTGAGCCTCAGCTGTGGCGGGGGTCTTGGTGTTCCTATCAGTAACCAGCTCCACCTCTACAAACATCTTAGCTGGAGATGATATGTTGAGCCATAGCTGTGGCGGGGGTCTTGGTGTTCCTATCAGTAACCAGCTCCACCTCTACAAACATCTTACCTGGAGATGATATGTTGAGCCTCAGCTGTGGCGGGGGTCTTGGTGGTCCTATCAGTAACCAGCTCCACCTCTACAAACATCTTACCTGGAGATGATATGTTGAGCCTTAGCTGTGGCGGGGGTCTTGGTGGTCCTATCAGTAACCAGCTCCCCCTCTACAAACATCTTACCTGGAGATGATATGTTGAGCCTCAGCTGTGGCGGGGGTCTTGGTGGTCCTATCAGTAACCAGCTCCACCCCTACAAACAGCCCCACACCTCGCACATCTCCTATGATGTTGTGTTTGGATATGAGCTGCTTTAGAGAGTTCAGCAGGTGGTTTCCCACCTTGGTAGCTTGTTCTCGCAGGTTCTCCCTCTCAATCACCTCAATCACAGTTTTTGCCACTGCACAGGATACTGGGTTGCCTCCATACTACAATCACAGTGTGAGTTAATCCCATGGTGTTTAAACAAAAATAAGCCTGTATCAGTTAAATAAAAAAAAACTCTCAGGGTACTATGATATTTATTATTTCACTTTATTTTGTAAAAGTACCGTATCCCTTAACATTAGAACTTCCAATAAAATATACCTACGTCACACAAAAATTAAATCGGTCCCAGGTCTAGGTCTTATCATGAGACCTAAGGTAATATCTTATTCCCTATATGGGAAATTCACTAAAACACATAAAAAAATCAAATTTACTACTAAATTGTAAAATTCCAACAGTTTTTTAATAAGCAATCAAATCTATATCTATCTATCTATACTCTATACTATTATAAAGAAGAGGTGGTGTCTGTGTGTGTGTGTGTTTGTATGAGATAATCTCAAAAACTACTGAACCGACTGGTCTCAAATTGCACACAAATGAAGCTACAGCTCTGAGGATACATATAGAACTATTCCCGCTTCGATATTGTCCTAGGGCTCCGCCCCGTGGGCTTTCAAAAATTTGAGGTGAGAGATTTAAAATTAAATATTGATTGATGGTATCCATGGTAACAAAGAACAAACCTACAAAGTTTGAAAATGTAAACAAGCAGAACTAACTGTCAAATGAAATTTGGTTTCACAATTCCACACAGCTGGTTCAAACATTTATTTAAATACTGCATGAATATTAGAACAGAGAGGGTAGGGATCATATTTAAAATAATGACGTCACTAGCCTGAATGTAAACATTATTTTACATTAGGTACTAAAATGGAGCTGTCAAACCATATGTTAATGTCATTTCATTATAATAAGATTCTTCCAGTTACATAATTTTTTTATGTTTATACTCAATTATACTGAGTCTGTTCTAATATTTGTGATATGCTGTAATAATATTTTATAGTGAATATTTCATTGTAAAAAGAAATTATTCATAGATATAGGATATAATTAAGATTCTACAATCATTTCCGTATCAAACTAGGCCCTTATCCTGAGTTTTATGAGAATTATGTTTTAGATTTATTTTTGTGTAAACAGTAATTTAATATCCCTGCTGCAGCAAACCTATAGACTAAGCGAATTTCTATGTGCCTGATCGTCATTTCCCTAAAATATGTTAGAAAACTACACTATTGACAGGTTTGGAACTATTGTGATAGCTTTTCGTTTACAGTCCAAACTATTAAACAGGTTCTTTTATTATACCTTAAAATATATCATTGGTTTTGTTTCCTAGGTAGCCTAAATAAGTATTCACAGTATGAGTTAACAAAAAAGTACTAGACCTATTACTATTATCAAGTTAAGTAGGCTAATACAGTTCAATTTCGTTTCTACAATAAATGTTAGGGAGTGAAACCATTTGGCATTTTCAAAGAACCAGTATTAACTCTTTTGCATACTGACCCAGTAGCAAGGCACGGGTATAGCTGCTAGCGAATACGAATAGTAGCGCTGGTTGCAGTAGCGCCAGTCAAATTTTTAAGCGACCGACGGTACTAATTGGGACCTCCAGAATTGATTTTTTTAGTATCTTATATAACTTAGAGTTAATCATGTACTACTACAAAGTCTTCTTTCTACATCAATTACAATTCCATAATACCCCCGCCGCAGCACACCTGCAGCCTATTTTCAATTAAATCTAATTCAATAACATTAGGTTTAACGAGTATCTAGGTTATGCTGCTACAGGGAGGGTTACGAAGTGTGATTTTAGGAAAATTAGTATAGAATAAATCAATTTGCCAAATTTGATAAAAATATATCCAAAAGGAATTAAAGAATTTTGTCAGCTGTTTCGACTGCACAAGTTAGTTCTATGATATTAAATAGCATTAACAGGTTTTAAGGCACCTATAGGGTGCAGCCCTATTATTTTTTGCATTTAACACATGCATTACACAATGAGACCTCTACTTTTTTCTATGGTTCAGGGGCAGTGGTAGAGCAAAAGAACCAAACTTTCTTAAACCATGTCCTCACCCATAACTGCAATAAGCATTTTATACTTATATGCCAACCCCGTACGAAGGACGGGTACTCTGCTAGTGTTTTAATAATACAACATTAACTGTTTCCATTAAATTACTTACAGTAGATTACATTGGTAAGTAAATTCATTAATTTTCTGGGTAACAGAGTGGTTATGGTGTGTGATTCTACACACTTAAGCATCATGTTTACATTAATTAAAAGGAATGTTGATATACAAAATACTTTCTCTTCCTATACTCCGTTCACAAAATTTAGTCCGTTTTAGGGAAAGAAATCTACCCCCTCTACGTCTTGATCCTACCATAGCTCAAGAGCTGAGATTTGTCTCGGCTGCAACATACATTAAGCAGAAAAAAGTGGTAGGGGAACTCCTCAAACCGCCAAAATCTTTTGAATGGACTATATATTTAGTACAATGTGTGTGCTTAAAACTGCTGATGAACATGTAACTAGATGAAGACCTGATACATTACATTACAACTACTCACGGTGTTGAAGTATTCGATACCAGTGTTTCTGAAACTGCTTGAGATCTCCTTAGTTGTGATGACTGCTGCCACTGGGTGTCCGTTCCCCATAGGCTTGCCTGCCACATCACACAACATATACACCAAATCATTATCTACTTTCTGTAACACTGAATCAAATTCCATTAAATTCCCCACTTTCTTTGGAATCCTTAATCAAGCCATTTGTAGAGTGAAAGAGTGGGTTCTATATCCAATTTAGAAACTTTCCTGAATACTGTATAAGTTATATTGCATATTTTAAGATGAAAACAAAAGAAAAGGAATTTAATGAACATTCAAAATTTACAGCCAAATAAACCTTTGTTCCAGAGGTATTTTTAAGACTTGAGATATTTTGGAGGACATAGTAAACTTCAAAATAGACATAAGAGTTAAAAAATACTATTTGATGTTGTAAACTGCTTTATAATCCAAACGTATTTGCATTCACATATTTGGTGGATTATGTTATGTATTAGTGGTTGAAGTAAATAAAAAATGTTTTCTAGATGTTTCCCAAGTAACATGAAAACTGTTTTAAACTTGTTTTAAAACTGAATCAATACAAGTTGTACTTGGAATTTTTTTCAGTATCAATTTAAATTTGAAACAGTTTTAAACTTGTTTCAAAACAATTTGTAGCTTCTTTCAAAATAATTTGTAGCTTGTTACAAAACAATTTCTAGCTCATTTCAAAACATTTAATCACATTAACTATGCATTAAAAATAAAATTAAAATTAAAAAGCCAAAAAATCAATAGCAAAAAGTTTACTAAACCAGCCGGGATTTAAACCAGGGACTCCAGAATGGAAACCCGCCGTCTTAGCCACTACACCACGGTTGCTTTAGTGATCACATATGTTTGACTATCTTTGTTGATTATACATGAATGGATTTAATAAAAATAGATTTGATTTTTAAACTAGTTCCGTCATGTTTTTTTTACCATCCTTATATATAATATATGTGAAGGCGATTTCTACGAAACACACTAATCCTAAGTTAATAATGGACAGATTTTTACATTTTTTACAAACGATGTGTCAAAATTAAGTATTTTTTGTGTAGACGCCCCCTTTCACCAATTCCTGTAATAAAAGTCCTCGGGCTTTGCCCCACCAGGCTATCAAAATCCCAATGTATTTCTTATGAAGAAAAGATTTTGTTTACTTAAACAGAAGTGTTTCAAGACTGTAAATAAAACATGTGTTTTATTTAGGATATTATATTATTATGATCAGAAAAAACAAATATTGTTATTAGTGTTAGAGACTTCTTACAAAAGACATGTTCAAATAAAATGTTACCAATTTAGATCATTCCTAAGTATTATTATCACGAGAAGTATAGACGGTCGTGATACATGGCGCAGTCTGATGTAAACCTACAGATCCAACAGGAAATTGAAGAGAACAGACTTCAAAGAAATCAAATCCATGTCAAGCCTCCAGACAATTTTTCCTTCAACCCCTATGATTGGAGTGCGTGGAAGAAACTCTTTGAAAGGTACAGGTCAGTCAGCGATCTACATAAAGCACCTGGGAAAAGGCAAGTTGACATTCTTTGCTACTGTATGGGGGATAAGGCTGAGGAAATATTTGATTCCTTTAATCTAAGCCCTGATGAGTTGGAAAATTATGAATTGATTATGGGAAAATTCGAAAACCATTTCGTCCCTAAAACAAACATAATTTATCAGCGTGCTAAATTTCTTAGACGAAAACAGGGATCCTCAGAGTCTGCTGAAAATTTCATCACAGACTTGCATAGACCTACTCTTGCAAAACCATGCAACTGGGGAGATTTAAGGGATGAAATGATTCTCATGCAACTTATCGTTGGAATGAATGATCAAAACCTTAGTGATCGCTTACAGTTACAAAGCTCACTAAAATTAGAAACTGCAGTTGATGCTCTTCGCAGTTCAGAGGCATTAGTTAGGCAAAAACTTGACCTAGCTGATCCCTCCGTTGATCGGGTAAAATTTACCACTCCTAAAAAGTCTTTTTGTAAGAAAACAGTTTCTAATAACCATGGAAAATACAATCCAGAAAACCTATGTAAATGGTGTGGGAATACTCCATCCCATCGCCGAGGCTTGTGTCCTGCCAAAAATGTTCGGTGTAACAACTGTAAAGCAAACGGTCACTTTGCTAAAGTTTGTTCTAAGCAAAAGGTTAATGAAGTCAGTAGTGAACCACAGTTTGTTAATCAATATTGTACAAATTCATCAAATTCTGAAGAATTCATAGGTAAAATTACTGAAAACAGTGCTCTAAACCCTGAATCTTGGGAAATTGACCTCAGGTTTAATGATTCTGACATTATTAAGTTTAAAATCGATACTGGAGCAGACGTTTCAGTTTTGCCAGCTAATATAAAGCTAAACAAAAAAGTTCCATTACAACATACGTGTAAAAGACTTTCAGGACCGGATGGGACTCAGTTAGCTGTACGAGGGATGGTAAATGTAAAGTTAGACTATAAGAACAAATCTTGTTTTGAGCATTTTTATGTAGCAGAAAAATGTAAAACACCACTCCTAGGTAAACCAGCCATTGAAAAACTAAACCTTCTACAAGTTGTCCGAAGTGTGTCTTCAACTTCGACGAACTGGTACGAAAAATATCCATCTCTTTTCAGTGGTTTAGGTAAAATGAACGGAGCTTATGAAATTGAGCTAAAAATGGGAGCAAAGCCATTCTCAATTACAGTGCCTCGACGAATACCTCTACCATTATGGTCAAAAACCAAGGAAGAGATTCAAAGAATGGTAAATATGGAGGTCATAACTCCAGTAGACCATGCTACACCTTGGTGTTTTCCGATGGTCGTCGTACCAAAGAAAGACAGCGGTAACGTCCGGATATGTGTTGATCTTTCGAAACTAAACCAAAGTGTTCGGCGCCAGTTACATCCAATTCCAGGGATAGAATACACAATAGCACAGATCAAAGGAGCTACTGTGTTCTCTAAACTAGACGCCAATCACGGGTTTTGGCAAATACCTTTGGAAGAAAAATCACAAGATCTCACCACTTTTTTGACACCTTGGGGACGATTTAAGTTCAAGGTCCTCCCCTTTGGCATTACATCAGCTCCGGAGTATTTCCAGAAACGCATCCATGCTGCTCTTGGTGATCAAAGAAATGTAAAAGCTTACATTGATGATATCCTAATATGGGGAAGCACACAAGCCGAGCATGACAAGGTTTTGGTGGAGGTTCTGGAAAAGCTTCAAAAGGAAGGCATTACCTTGAATAAAGAGAAAACAGTCTTTTCAAAGCCAAAAATTAAGTTCCTTGGCTTTGAACTGAGTGCTGATGGCATTTCTCTTGATCAGGAGAGAGTTAAGGCTATTTCTGAGATGGAGCCTCCAACTGATGTGAAAGGTGTACAAAGATATCTTGGAATGATCAATTTTAGTGGAAGATATATTCCAAATAGGTCTGAGATTTTGAAGCCTATTCACGAGCTACTCAACAAAAATAATGAATGGATATGGGACAAACCACAACAAAAAGCTTTTGATACTATCAAAAATCTTCTTACTACGGCTCCTCACTTAGCTTTCTATGACCCTAATCTTCATACAATGATTTCATCTGATGCATCATCATTTGGTATCGGCGGAGTATTGTTGCAACGAGAAAAAAGTGGCACATTCAAACCAGTAAGCTACATATCACGTTCTCTCACTGATACAGAAAGAAGATATTCCAACATAGAACGAGAAGCTCTGGGAATCGCCTGGGCATGTGACAAGTTGAAAGACTACATAGTTGGTAAGGACATAATAATCGAGACAGATCATAAACCACTTTTGAAGATTTTGACGTCAAAAAACTTAGATGAATTAACTCCACGTCTACAGAGAATAAGACTAAGAATGATGCGTTACTCATACAATCTTGTGTATATTCCTGGAAAACACCTAATAACAGCTGACTGTCTTTCACGTAACCCTCTAAAGGACACTGAAAACTATGACTTAGAGGAGGAACTCACTTACTACGTGAGACAAGTCATTTCCAATGTTCCAACTACTGATGAAAACATACAGAAAATCCTACATTGTCAAAGACAAGATCCAATTTGTATGAAATTATGGAACTTAATCATTGATGGTTGGCCAGAAAAATTTGAAATTCCAGATCAATTAAAGACATTTTTCAACGTAAAGGAAGAACTTTCTGTTGCTGATGATCTTGTATTACGAGGAACACGAATATATGTTCCAGAAGCATTGAGAGAAGAAATGCTAAAACGAATCCATGTAGGACACTTGGGAATAACAAAATGTAGACTCCGAGCCAGCAACAGTCTTTGGTGGCCAGGAATATCTCGTGAGATTGCAAAGATGGTTGAAAGTTGTCCACAATGTATTCAGCACAGGAAAAATAAAAACGAACCACTTATTCCAGCAGATTTCCCTTCAAGACCTTGGCAGATTGCAGCAATGGATCTTTTCAAGTTAAGTGGTCAATGGTTCATCGTGTTAACAGATTGTTACTCACGATACTTTGAAATTGCAACCTTACGTTCTTTGACAAGTCATCAAGTCATTGAAAAATGTAAATCAGTATTTAGTCGTCATGGAATTCCAGAAGAAATCAGAACCGACAGCGGAACCCAATTCACCATGCGTCAAGGTTCGGAATTCCAGCAGTTTTCCAAAGACTACAATTTCAAGTTAAAGACAAGTAGCCCTCACTTCCATCAGAGTAATGGAGCTGCAGAGGCTGCAGTGAAGATAGCAAAATGCATCCTAAAGAAAAATAAAGAAGACCCTTATCTGGCACTCTTATCATACCGTAACACTCCAATATCGAACGGGTTTAGCCCTGCACAACTACTAATGGGACGACGTTTACGAGACAATCTACCAGTTTTGCCAGGACTTTTAACAGAAAAGCCAGATTTGAGTGACTTGAAACAAAGGGAGAGGAATTATAGAGAAAAGTACAAGAGAAATTATGACTCCAGGCATGGTGCCAAATCTCTTGGAAGTTTGAAATCTGGAGACAGCGTTTGGATATCTGACGTGGGAAAACCTGGAACGGTTGTAAAAACAGCAACTGAGCCACGATCATATATTGTCAGGACTGATACAAGAGACCTAAGAAGAAACCGTTTCCATCTTCTACCATTTCCCGATGACTTGAAAAGTACACCATCACGAGACAATGTGACAGAACAAAATTCAACAAGTGTCTGTACCAGAAGTCCAAAACCACAAGAGGACAACTCAAGTTACAAGACTAGACACGGACGTCAAGTACATCCTCCAAGGAGACTCGACCTTTAAGGAGGGGGATGTTTCAAGACTGTAAATAAAACATGTGTTTTATTTAGGATATTATATTATTATGATCAGAAAAAACAAATATTGTTATTAGTGTTAGAGACTTCTTACAAAAGACATGTTCAAATAAAATGTTACCAATTTAGATCATTCCTAAGTATTATTATCACGAGAAGTATAGACGGTCGTGATACAGATATCAAAATCCCAATGTATTTCTTATGAAGAAAAGATTTTGTTTACTTAAACAGAAGAATAATTTGTATTAATTACAGCTGTTCATAGTAAAAACATGATACACACAAAAGGTTTCGTGTTCAGAGTGAGTTCGTTTTTAGTTTCGATAACTGGAGTGGAGTGTGTTAGTTTTCAGAGTGAGTTCGTTGAAGTGGAGTTGTTGGATTACATTATCTTTAAGTTCACTCTATTAAGTTATTCGTTTTGAAATAATGCCTGTAATACTTTGCAATTGCTCGAATTCGAGCAACAGGTGCACTAGCTGTTTTGTAATCGTTGAAACATTTATAGCTTTTATATTTAAATTTACGTGAGCAAAGCCATGACGGTTGTGCTTGTATTCAATAGAAGAAAGAAAACAAAAAGTTTATATTTTCTCAATTTCTGTGCAAATTAAAAAAAAATATATAATAATATTTTACAGTAAATTATTAGGTATCTTGGCAAGTTATTATGATGTTTTTGAGCAAAGAATTGATAATTAAATTCTAAACTAATAAACATCAAATATAATTTTCAATAGTACAATAGTCGTAAGTTGAGCCTCACCAACAGTGACGATGTCTGGGATGACGTCCTCGCCCTGTAGTTGGAAGCCCCACCAGTGTTTGCCAACCCGACCAAAGCCAACCTGAACCTCGTCTGCTATGAACACTCCTCCCGCTTCGTGGACATGCCTGAGACAAACAGGTTATACCCATCTGTTTAAACTCTTTGCGTTACGTTTAGTTTGCCAGATAAGATGAAAAATACGTTCCAATCTTGATAATCTGACAGATATGGGACCTGCTTATTATAGGATTTACAATAATTCCGGATTACCAAGGGTAGTGGGGGTTCCAAGGGAGAGCTACAGGGGCTAAAGCCCCCTCCTTGGTCACTGGAAAAATAAATTTTAACATACATTTCGTCAACATGAAGACATCGATGTCTTCGTTTTTGTAACCCTGACGATGCTGTATTTACGGCGAAACATGTAGGTTGTTAACCTCAATCAACATTTGGATTACTTGACGAGGTATTGTACCATTATCATAGTCATACATTTCGTCCTTTAAACACACAATGTTATCACATCAAACACAAAACAACAAACAGACATCAATATAGTTACAGTATTATAAAACTAAATAAGCGATGCCAGGGAGTTAAGTTCCCAGTTCCCAAATAGATAAACTTTGTGGGGCAATAGCAAGACGAATAAAAACAATATTACGCTATGGAAAGTTGTACGCATCATCCAATTTTTAGAGTCAGTCAGCTGACACGAGCGAGTATGACAGCGAGGACGGGGAAACAGCTCTGATTTCATGTTCCTAGTTGTCAAATTGTCTGTTTATTTCATCGGCTGACTAAGTGCACAGTACATAATGTTACTTTTCCGTGTTTAGGCACGGTAAAGGGCAACTTTCCAGCCTATCAATACGTATGGAAAAGTACCTCTCTGAGTCTCTGTGTAGTATGATGTAAAAATAGTTTACGCCACACTACACTGTTTTAATGAACTTCCTACGCAAGGATTTAGTCCAGAAAACAGCTGTTTGGCGCCAGCCTAATCAAATGTGGTTTCATCACACATTACTGTACTGTAATGAGTTTTTACCACACCAACCAGCTGGTTATATTTGGCAAAGTCTGGTTATAAGCAAAAACATATTAGTCTAGGCATATTAGGAAAGTTAGCAGAAAGTTTAGGTACAGTCCTAATCATCACTTTTCTTTACGTTTTTTGGGTCGCTGAACACGAATATGAGGTTTGCTGACAGATATTTTGCCCGGAACATTGGTTATTTTGTGAAAAACCTTAAAATTTGGGCACTTTTTTTGGTTTTTTGGGCAAATCTCGGTAAGTATGGGTTTTTGAGAAAATCCTGCTTTGTAAAATTAAAGATGACAAAATTTACTACAAGTTTCCTATATAATGTTTGTTTCTACGACGAACCGTTTCGCCACTAGAGCACACTAAATAAGGCCAGAAGTACAAACAATTAAAAACATTGCTAAATGCTGCCGCTTTACATTAGGTTTCCATAGAAACAACCCATGTTACGATAATTGTAACTATTTATTCATGATAACAAACTGAAACACACTTAAAAATACCCCCGCCACAGCAAACCTGCAGATTAAGCGAGTTTCCATTTCCCTGATTGGATTTACACTAAAATGTCTCCATAGAAATATCACATTTATACCCTATTTAAATAAAAGTTTAACCAGTACTTAGGTTTGCTGCAACAGGGAGGGTAAAAGGTGTTTTTTGTAAAATGTAAAAATTTGGTATGAAATGAATGCATTGTCCAAATTCGATAAGAATAACATGGGCATTATAAATTTACAGATTTTCGGAATTTTCTCCGTAACCATTAGGCGCATAACAACGCTTTAATATACTAAATTATTTGTTTTTTTAAGCTCTACAAAACGTAATGGAAATAAATCACTAAATTTTAAGTTTATAGGGTCAAAAATAGGAAAAACCAATTTTTACCCCCAAAAAACCCCATAAATCTCTGTTCCCATAGTCCGATCATGCTGGTTCGCGAACTCGTTCGAATAGTTCGAATTCGTAGACACGGTCTACTCGTCTGAATTTGACGTTACCAAAGTTAAAAGTTATCTACAACTCTTTTAATGTATTTCATCCTTTTTTCTCAATCACTATAGCAGTCAACTCTGTGGCCAGCAACATCCCTGTGCTGAGAAAATAAATGGGGGTTTTGTGGGAACAGGAAATGTTCCAGCAGTCAGTCATACATCTTGGCATAGATTTATCAAGTGTGTTTCAGTTTATTATCATGAATAAATAGTTCTAATTATCGTAACATGGGTTGTTTCCATGGAAACCCAATGTAAAACCTTTGTAAAACGGTTAGGGTTTATTTTCATTTTTTGTTTTGCCCAGCATGATCGGACTATGGGAACAGGGATTTATAGGGGGTTTTATGGGGTAAAAATTAGATTTTCCAATTTTTGACCCTATAAACTTAAAATTTAGCGATTTCTTTCCATATCATTTTGTAGAGCTTAAAAAACAAATAAATTAGTATATTAAAGCGTTGTTATATGCACCTAATGGTTACGGAGAAAATTCCAAAAATCTGTAAATTTAAAATGCTCATGTTATTCTTATCGCGACTAAGTAAACTGTTGTTTAAACTGCTTGTTTATCAACATATTTTGATCAAATTTCATGTACCAAATTATTACATTTTACAAAAAACACCTTTTTACCCTCCCTGTTGCAGCAAACCTAGGTACTCCTTAAACTTTTATTTAAATAAGGAATAAACGTGATATTTCTAAGGAGACATTTTAGTATAAATCCAATTAGGGAAATGGAAATTCGCTTAGTCTGCAAGTTTGCTGTGGCGGGGGTATTTTTAAATGTGTTTCAGTTTGTTATCATGAATAAATAGTTACAATTATCGTAACATGGGTTGTTTCTATGGAAACCTAATGTAAAACGGCAGCATTTAGCAATGTTTTAAATTTTTTGTACTTCTTGCCTTTTTTTTAATGTGCTCTAGTGGTGAAACGGTTCGTCGTAGAAACAAACATTATATAGGAAACTTGTAGTAAATTTTGTCATATTTAATTTTACAAAGCAGGATTTTCTCAAAAACCCATACTTACCAAGATTTGTCCGAAAAACCAAAAAAAGTGCCCAAATTTTAAGGTTTTTCACAAAATAACCAATGTTCCGGGCAAAATATCTGTCAGCAAACCTCATATTCAAGTTTAGCGACCCAAAAAACATAAAGAAAAGTGATGATTAGGACTGTACCTAAACTTTCCGCTAACTGCCACTTATATTCCTAATATGCCTAGACTATATTGTGATGAGTAGTGATTGTTGGTCCTTTTAGTCAGTGGAAATAAGGATTTGCACATATTTCTTAATGTTAAGTTATCTTAGACTAGTATGGCGTGAAATATTGTACTTCACTCATCCAAAATGTGTTTACCGGACTCATATGCAGGTTGTCCACATTTTGGAAAGTCATGGAAAAAATTTTGGTCATTGAAAGTCATGGAAATAGTAAAGAAGTCATGGAAAGTCATAGAAATCCACAATATTATGGATGGATTTGAGGGGATCATTCAATGCTCTAGTCAGCCATAATCCCCGACTGTTATAGCATTTTGCAGGATTTTTCACAAACGTTCGACAATTCAATTTAGTTGTATTATTTTATGAGTTTTGAGTTTGTTTTAGTTTATTGTTGTACCTAGTGTACTCCATATTGTTATCTGTTACTACATATTTCAGTACTTTCTGTTAAATAACATGTCTAGGCAGTATTATTCGTGTGTGTATGTTTATATTATAATTTTCGAGTAAAGTTTGTGATTCATGAAAATCAATGGTAAATGGTCATGGAAAGTCATGTAAATTATTGACAAATTTTTTGTGGACCATAGGGTTATGGTAATCCCACACTCGTCTTCGTCTCGAACGGGTACAACCACACTTGTCCGGTAAACACCTATTTTCAGGACTAGTAACGTAATAATACTATTGCAAGTATAGGCCTAGGCTATTATAATCAAGTGAGTTTTACCATCGACTGTAAAATGTATGTGTTGTGGAAAAATGTTCATCATAACATAAAATTCTGATGCCTTTGAAACTTAAATAATAAAAGCCAAAATTAGTTGTAAATAAAATGTGAGTTTCCTTTAAATTGCTTTTACAAAAGAAAATTAAACCATGCCAAGCTAAATTGTTTAGATATAAAGTGGCAGAGAGTCCTATTCAATTGAATTATGAATAACTACGGTATCTATCTAGTCCTAAAGTGAGATTGTTAAATCTGAAGCTTTCATTCCGTCAAACAAATAATAGTTGTACAAGAGGAGCTTGGATCTCGAGGCAGGATGTGTTTCCTGTTCACTTGCATTCAAAACAGATCAGTAGCCTAAGTAGAATTGGACGTCATATACTTATGGTGTATACTGCTGCTAATCATTTATGGGCCAGATATATGGGAGCGCCATATTAAATGTAAACTGAAGGCAGCCAATTTACATACTTTTTGAAACCCCCATTTATGACAAAAAACTTATATTGATTAACAATCATGTTAGGGTCTTTTAGAGTTGACATGCGCTTTAAAATTTTAAAAAATTCTTTTTTTGTTATGGTGGCAGCTACATAACCCAAATTTATTCTGATTGCAGCAATATAAATAGCCGGATGTATATATTTATATGAATTTGAAAGGATGTTGTTTTTGGCCTGGAGACATCAAAACAAAAAAATACCCCCGCCGCAGCAAACCTGCAGACTAAGGGTATTTCCATTTGCCTGATTGCATTTACACTGAAATGCATCCTTAAAAATATCACATTTATTCCCTATATTTAAATAGAATTAGTTTAACGAGTACTTAGATTTGCTGCAACAGGGAGGGAAAAAGGGTTTTTTGTTGTAAAATGTTAAATGTTTAGTAAGAAATTAATGTATTTTCCAAATTCTATCAAAGTATGTTCATAAACAAGCAAACTACACCAGTTGACTTATTAAAAAAAAATTTTTTTAAATTCTCCATAAGAATACCACATGCGAACATGGTAACACATGGTAACATGCAAATTTTAAATTTACAATTTTTTGGGATTTTCTCCCTAACCATTAGCCACACAACAACGCTTAAATACACTAGATTATTTTTTTTTAGTTCTACAAAATGGTTTGGAAAGAAATTGTGAAATGAATTGTTTTTAGGGTCAAAAATGGGAAAACCCTATTTTTACCCCATAAAACCCCTCATGAACCCCCGTTCCCATAGTCCTATCATGCTGGTTCACGAACTCGTTAGAATAAATGTAGGTTTACCCGTTTTATAGCAAATTTCATCAAAATCGGATCATTTTTGCTCGAGTTATCGTGTCAACGGACATATATATATATGTATGAATGAATTTGAACGGATGGTGTTTTTGGACTCTAGGGACCTCAAAACGAAAATGAAATCGGTCCCGGGTCTAGGTCTTACCATGAGTACTACGGTAATAGCTAGCTTATTCCCTATATGGGAAATTTGCTAAAAAGGAAATCGGTCCTGGCCCCAGGTCTGAGAATTACGGTAATAGCTTATTCCCTATAGGAAATTCGCTTAAACAATTTCAACATTTAAGAAACCATTAACTTTACACATTAATTAGGTACTTTTGTAAAGACATATTAAATAGAATTCAGATCTTGAATGATTAAACACCTGATCACATTGCCAAAGATAGTTAGGGGGAGTTTAAACATTTCAATACCCCATAACACCCTGTTCCCATGACCCTTTGTTAGTTCAAAAACAGGTAATGCCAAAATAGGAGTTTGTATCTTTGATCAATGATTTCACACCTGATCACATTGCGGAGATAGTTTGGGGGAGGTATGATCTGGCCTCCGCAGCTCTGCAAGCTCTCGGCGTAGAAGGCGCTGATGGTTCTGCCATTGTCACGCGCTGTCTTGATAACTTGCCTAACGTCATCAGCGTATTTCTTGCCCATACACTCTCCGGGATGGTCACTCTCTCTGTATTTACCTCGGTACACGTCTGGACAAGGGACCTGGACATGTACAGAGATCAGCTGTGCGAGTTGAGTTATCCATATAAAGCCCGAAGTACCCATGAACTTTTGAGAAATCTAAAAGTCGCCCCCCCATAAACCATATGTGTACTTAAAATGTTCGTCATGACGAGAAACCTTGCGGAAAACTATTTCCATTATTTCATAAATTGCCCTTTAGGGTCGTAATTCCTTTCTAAAGAGAACTTTCCATATACCTTATGTCAAAAACACCTCAGCTGTACTTATTTGTTTATATTACTGTGTTCTGTTTTGTTAGTTTCAGCTTAACTTAACCAATCAATAGTTTTATTAATACTTATAAAGTCAAACGGGGTGAAGCCCGTGGGTACCAGCTAGTCAGGTATAAAGAAAGTTTGTTTTTTAAGAACAACTTGTAAACTGGCATCTTAAATATCACATAAAAATAACCATAAGTATCAATACCTCAAATCAGCGAAACTGCAGAAAAAGCAAATTTCCATTTGCCTGATTAGATTTTTACAAATATTTACTCAAAAATCTCGGCTTTATTCCTTATTTAAATAACATTAGGTTTAACGAGTATTTAGGTTTGCTGCTAAAAGGGAGGTAAGTGTGGTTTCTCAGTAAAATGTTTATAGTTAAATATAAAATAAATAAATTTTCCGAGCTTAATCAAAATATATCCATAAAAAAAAATTACAATAGTTTACCTGTTCCTCCTGAAAAATACTATGGGAATTTTTAATTTACCATTTTTGGATTTTCTCCGTGGTTAATAACCATACAAAAAACTTCAAGGTATTCAGCAATAATTTGGTTTTTTTTAAGCTCTATATAATGGTTTGGATAGACATTGATCAATAAGTTAGCCTACAATATTATTTTTAATGTTTGGGTAAAAATGTATATTCATGTTACAATATGATAATACAATTAATTTAAACTTTGAATACCTTCTTGGGAGACCTCTGAGTATGGCCATGGTAAATTTCTGAATACAGTAGTAGTAAGTTCCCTGGTCAGGTCTCAAATTTGTTTGTAGTCTAGTACCTGACTACCTGAGAAGTCTTTTTTACAGAAATACCCTGATTGAATTTTGCTTTGATACTGATGAATATACATTTAACAACAAAATTATTCATAAACTTGTTTATTCAAATTTTATATTTTTTTCAGCAAGTAGTCAAGGAATTATTTAGATTAAGGGAGTTCATTAAGGATTCAAGGACACATCTAGAGGGATTGGCAGTTAGCCAATCAACATATCACCATCTGAATGCCAGGCAGAACTTACCACATGTACCCACTCTGGTAGCTGGTTACCCTTGCACTTGTATGGTGAAATGTCTATTAGAGATGAAAGATGGCCATGATAAGCACTGAAACAACAGTAAAAATGACAATAGTATTTCCATGATTTTTACACACATTAAAAATAGGTTATTCAAAGACTAAAGAATTATTGAGGATTGAATTTGCATAATGTTATTTATCATGAGTAGAGGTCCCATCCCGTTCTAGAGCCTAGATAAAAAGAAGAGGTTATTTTCTGAAATATTCTTCACTAGGCCTATTAACTATGAATAAATCCTAACCTGCTTTGTATCTGCTCAGTGGTAGTGTCTCGCCTCTTGGCTGCACCACCTGCACTATGTTATAACTCCTATCCCCACTGGCTTGCCACCTACAGACCAGAGGGTCCAAGGTAGGATAGCCAGTTGTGGTTTTTGTATCTGCTCAGTGGTAGTATCTCGCCTCTTGGCTGCACCACCTGCACTATGTTATAACTCCTATCCCCACTAGCTTGCCACGTACAGACCAGAGGGTCCAAGGTAGGATAGCCAGTTGTGGTTTTTGTATCTGCTCAGTGGTAGTGTCTCGCCTCTTGGCTGCACCACCTGCACTATGTTATAACTCCTATCCCCACTGGCTTGCCACGTACAGACCAGAGGGTCCAAGGTAGGATAGCCAGTTGTGGTTTTTGTATCTGCTCAGTGGTAGTATCTCGCCTCTTGGCTGCACCACCTGCACTATGTTATAACTCCTATCCCCACTAGCTTGCCACCTACAGACCAGAGGGTCCAAGGTAGGATAGCCAGTTATGGTTTTTGTATCTGCTCAGTGGTAGTGTCTCGCCTCTTGGCTGCACCACCTGCACTATGTTATAACTCCTATCCCCACTGGCTTGCCACGTACAGACCAGAGGGTCCAAGGTAGGATAGCCAGTTGTGGTTTTTGTATCTGCTCAGTGGTAGTATCTCGCCTCTTGGCTGCACCACCTGCACTATGTTATAACTCCTATCCCCACTGGCTTGCCACCTACAGACCAGAGGGTCCAAGGTAGGATAGCCAGTTGTGGTTTTTGTATCTGCTCAGTGGTAGTATCTCGCCTCTTGGCTACACCACCTGCACTATGTTATAACTCCTATCCCCACTGGCTTGCCACGTACAGACCATAGGGTCCAAGGTAGGATAGCCAGTTGTGGTTTTTGAAAACAAATCAATTAAAAAATCACGCCAAAATATGAAGGTTTTATAATCTAAAAAAATTGATGAACTGATTGTATTCAAAACACTTAAGCCACACATACTGGTCTAGAGTGACTACATCATGGTGCTTGGTGTGGGCTCGGGCCAGTCGCATGGCGAGATCATTGGCTTCAGACCCGGAGTTGACTAGAAAACAGACGTTGAGAGGTTCAGGAAACAGAGCAGCCAACTTCTGAGCACATAACACCAGGTTGTCGTGCAGAAAGCGATTGTTAGTGTTGAGAACTGACATCTGTTCTACTGCAGCCTGGACTACCTCTGGATGGCAGTGACCGACTGAAACAAGCCCCAAGTACAAACATATCAAGTAAAAGAATAATTTTAAGCAGTAGTTAATTTTTACCCATGTCATGTCTGTAATTTAATTTAAAAACATTTAATTTTAACATTTTTATTTCCTGAGGGAGGATGCCCATTATACTGAATAGTTGAAAAAAAAACCAGAAAATTTAGCCATTTTACAAAAAGCTGTGGCTGTAAGTTCAAGTTTTCAGTGCATGTTTTCCACATTCTTGGTGTTTTATAAGATGTAGGCATAAAGCTTTCTTGTATTTTTCAGTTTACTATATGACAACAGGTTCTTGATTTAGTTTATACTAGCCGTCATACTAACCGTCCGCAACGGGAAGTTAGCCCTAAAGAGAATAATTATTATGTTCCAAAGATCTGCTGTATGTAGATAAACTTTTAGTAAACCACTAAAAGTATTAACTGGCTACTCCATTTCCCAAACATTATTTTTGGGTAAATAAACCATACAAACACAATGAACTTTTATAAACAAATAGGAAAAAACAAAGTCAATAAGCTAATGAATTGTCCACTTAAAAAATAAAACGCCTCATTTGCGCATTATCAATAATTATTTATTAAATAAAAAAAGATATATATATATATTTATAACTGAAAAAATCCTAGTTTGACACTTCTCATTTTGCATCTCAGCCTTTTGTTGCTGCTTGGTTCAAGTTAGCTGTTGTCTTAAATTAAAACAATAGTGTTGCACTCTGTTGGAAAACCTTGAAACTTTTAAATATGTTATTGAGCTTTACAGAATCAAATTGTTTAATTGAAACAGCTGTTAAGATTCTTTAATTCCATTTAAATATGAGTATGTATACTAATATGGAGCCCTTTGGACGGATCTGCACCAAACTTTTCATGAACCATCCTTGAATAAAGCTTAATAAAGCCTGAAAGTTTCATTACAACATGTCAAGGTTTCGTAGTCCATAGGGTATATATATACATACTTCCTCTTTTATTTAGTTTATATTTATTTAATCTTGTTTAGGACAAGCCTACATCCACACAGTTACAACCACAAGTGGTGCCAAATATTTATAGTGTAAAAACTTTAAGATACAAGATACAATGAATTTCTAACTTACCATGAGCAACATTGTTAATACAGTCGAGGTATTGGTTGCCTTTCTCATCATACATATACTGTGCCTCAGCTCTGACTATCTTTATTGGATCACTTCGGAAAAACAATTTGCAGGACTCTCTGAAAGTTTAAATATATATTAGAAAAAAAAAAACAACATTAACAAGAAGAACATTAAAATAGTTTGTAGGAATTATACACACATTTAATGTACACATGACTAAAAGTTTTCTCAATTAACGTGTTTTGTAATTTACAACTGTGTAATTAATTATACAGCCAAATCACAATTGGACCTTATGATTACTGAACAGTAGAACTAACTTAAAATGAATTAACTGACTCATTTGGAACCAACCGCCCTTTGCTCAATTTGTGTTTTGAAGTATCTTTAGATGTTGCAACAAGTTAGAGAAGGAGTGGAAATAAATGAAAATACCTTCTCTAGTTTTCATTATTTTTAAACCCTCTAAAACTAATAAAAATGGAGCATTATGCTATAAAGCATATATTGTTATAAAGCATTACTTTCTCTACATATGGGTACTATAGCTATCCTTCCATTGATCAACTTAGCGATGAACATAATTAGACACCTTCCTCATAAGAGTCAATTTCAATCATTACCGTACATGTATAGAACAAGTTAGAGAGAATAATAATTGTATTCTTGGCAGAAGTTATTGGCAAAGGTTCTAAATTCCCTGCCGATGCATTTGTGAAAATATGGATATTTCTTACATTCCACCCACACTCAGTGAGAAATTTTATTCATTTGGCTTTTCATTAACACATCATTAAAGTGAGTTTTATTGATTTTCCTCATCATCTTACTAATATTATAAATGTAAAAGTTTGTGTGTTTGTTTGTTTGTTTGTTTGTTTGTTTGCTTGTTTGTGTGTTTGAAGTTCAATCACGCATAAGCCACTGGACGGATTGGGCTGAAATTTGGCATGATGATAGCTTACATTCCCGATTAACATATAGGCATATTCTTATCTCAAAGAAAGCATTAAAAAGTTACAAGATTTACCAACAGGGTGCAGCACTATATATTTTTTTGCAATTATTAAAACAGCAAATTTGAACTAAGCAGCAACAAAAAACTGTGATTCGCAATGAGAACTGTCAAAGTAGGATTGTTTACAGTTATGTTAATGTTTTTCATTTCATCAATAATTTGTGATATTTTGCGAGTTGTTGGTAATTTATTTTTCTCTATTGTTTAGGTGAAGTGGTAGAACATTATGGCTATGGTAGATGTGTAATACTATAAAATACTGTAAATTTAAAAAAGCAAATTTTATCAAACTGTGTCCTCCCTTATTGCAAACGCAAAGCTTGAGTATAACTGCAATAAGCATTGTATACTTATATTCCAACCCCGTACGAAGGATGGGTACTCTGCTAGTAACCATATATTTCTTTCAAATTAAAAGCTTTACTACAAATTGATAACATGGGATGGTTATATCAAAGTAACATTTAAATTTCTTTTACTATGTTATTATTGCTCTTGCAGATTATAGCCCAAGCAAATTAGGAAAAATAGAGGAACAAATCTATGTATTCCCAATTTTTTTCAAAAATGTGTCGGGGAGGGTCCCCTAATGAATATATGATGAAGAGAATAAAATCACCCTGCCGCTCTCTGGTGGTGGGAGGTGTAAATGCACCAATTTGCGGTTTTTTGCTTATAACTTGAAAACGGCGTGTCGTAGCTTAAATTGTTCAGTGTAAAAGTTAAAGCTTATTAAATTTGCTACAACTTTGATCATTTACAATATTAGTGAAAGACGCATAGTTTCTGAGATATCCGCGCTCAAAAAAAAATAATAATAATAATGCTCAAAAAAAATTTCATCTCACATTTTTTGTTAAAATCTTATTTGTTTCTCCTTCTCTGTTATTTTTCAGAAATATTGTATGGTAAAAATTGGTAATAGTTATGTAAATAACAATTTAACAAAATAAAAAGGTTATCTATTTATTACGACGATCCAAAGTTAAAACAATTAAAACATACAAAATAAATTCATACTTAATTATAGAACTAATGTTGACTGAGCCTCTGTTTTTGCAAAAACAAAGGCTAAGGTAACATTAGTTCTATAATTAAATATGAATTTATTTTGTATGTTTTAATTGTTTTAACTTGGATCATCAAAATAAATAGATAACCTTTTTATTTTGTCAAATTGTTATTTACATAACTATTACCAATTGTTTCCTTAAATATACTTATATTTGGCCTAAACAATTATCAGAAACCATAAAAATTTTGCAATGATAAAAAAATCAAAACTTTGCAACTATTTGTGTAATTCATGATTTTCTCTTTTTATCTTAAAAACGCTGTAACTTTATACTGAACCTAGATCTTATCTATTTACATATTTGTATATACTATTGAAGTAAATTTAATTATCTACAACCTTCTTTTCGTCAATATTTCTGCAAAATAACAGAGAAGGAGAAACAAATAAGATTTTACAAAAAATGTGAGATAAAAATTGTTTTCGAACATTGTTTTTTTTTTTTTTTTTTTTAGCGCGGATATCTCAGAAACTATGTGTCTTTCACTAATAATATATATGATCAAAGTTGTAGCAAATTTAATAAGCTTTAACTTTTACAGTGAACAATTTAAGCTACGACACGCCGTTTTCAAGTTATAAGCAAAAAACCGCAAATTGGGGCATTTACACCTCCTACCACCAGAGAGCGGCATGGTGATTTTATTCTCACCTATCATATATTCATTAGGGGACCCTCCCTGACACATTTTTGAAAAAAAAATGGGAATACATAGATTTGTTCCTCTATTTTTCCTTATTTGGACTTATTTGCTTGAACTAATTATAAGAACACTTGGTTAACTTCATGAAAACATTTTTTAAACATTGAAATACCATAGTGAATACTGTTTGTGACGGAAATGAAATACATTGTCAAAATAGAATTCTTTATATTTACAGTAGGAACATCAAATGAGTATAAATTACAAAAAAATATTGTTATTCAAAGAGAGTGATTTTGCAATTTTGGTTTCAATAATTTTTTAGTACAACTCGTAAAAATAAAAATATATACCTATATTAAAGAAATTACAACAACTTGGCCTCGCCAAGTTTAAAAACTTGTCAACGAGGTCCAATGTTATGCATAAAGATATAAACAACAAAATGTTAAAGTTTTTTCTCGGTTGTTATAAAACAAAGATACCTAAGTATACTATTTCTAAGGTGGTTTGTATAAACTATTAGGTTAACAAGAAAAGAATAACCATCCCATTAAATAGCTTGATCTACTAAATAATTTACAGACTAATTTATCAACTTTGTTGTTTTAGCAAATTTCCTATATGAAAATAAGCTATTACCATAGGTCATGGTGAAGACCTAGAATCAGAATCCATTTGGGCCTACTTTTTCGTTTTCAGGTCTCCGCGCCATCCACTCTACCTCTCCGCCGCGCGCTAATGCAAGGGTTTAGGATCTCCGTTATTGTCAGCTTAGTTCTTAACCGATTTCAAATATATTTATTGTTATTTATTCATTTCTTATATCTGTAGGCTTGTGCTTCTTTAATTTTTTGATAATAGTAGAATTTAAGGTGGGAAGTGACTGGTAAATACTTCTAAATAAGCATTTTTCTAAAGTATTTTACATAAGCAAATACATTTTTAGAAGAAAATTAAAAAAGTAGAGTCATAAATTTGAATCTAAGGAGTAAGGAACAATCTTCAGATGAAAATATTTTAAAAGTTAAGTGAGTAGCTTAAGAGGACTTAAACGTCTGCATGCGCTTCTCGCGGCGCTGTTGAATGGTGCAACATAGCCACTGAGGCCCGAGTTAAGATTTCTGAGCTGAATTAGAGCGTAGGTACTCTTAAAATTCATATATATATTTGTGTGTGTGTGTTAATACAATTTACATTAACTTTCAAATGCTCACCATGATGATGATGAAATGAATGTTAAAATGTTTGAAATTATGTCCGTTACAACTAACTTTAGTGTTTATATATTTTGCTGCAAGACATGACCGAGACAGATTTAACCTCATAATCTTACTACATACTATCACGGATAATGTTCAAACTGTGGGAACTCTTGCAAAACAAACAGATAGGTTAAATCAGTTAGTTTAGTTTGAGTGATAATGCAAGGTACAGCAAGGGAGGTGAGGTTACAATATAAATTCATCTCACTCATTTAATAATTTATTATTGTTACCAAACCAATGCTAATTTATATTTTGTAACTAGTTCATATCAAGGCTACAGTCAACACTGCACTCATTCATGAATATTTAATTGGCTGCCTTCTTAAACACATCCCGAATAAAGTATTAATATTCTCTTTGATTAAAGGTGCATGGCTGTCTTGCAAGATCCTATAATTATACACATTCTTCAATTTATTATATGTTTATGTCATATATTTTGTTAATGTCTCATAATTGTTGCACATAATACGTTTTAACTGTAATGTTTGGAAAGGAATGTCAAGGTTATTATAAATTTAGTATAAGCGCAGAAACTATGTTACGCTATGTTAGAGTATGTAATTTATCTCCAATGCACTAGTGCACTTCAACTTTATCAATATTTATTCTGCATTATGATAAAAAAAATATATTGAAGATGGGAGCCATTTTGGGAGTTTACTTATAAAGGGAAACAACATACTAGCTAGTGTAAAAATTTTTGTTGTATAAATTAGCTTAAACAATCGTTAGGAATACAAATTACAATCATATTTATCACAATAACTGACCAGAAGCCTATCCAGGAAGTTTATTACAATCATTTTATCTTATTCTTGCTGAGCTGGAGTCTAAAGAGTCACTTCAGGCCCAAGTGGTTACATTTTAATTTACTATCCAAATATTCTTCTAAAAGACCAATAAACCTATTTTGAGAACATCTACATTCCAAAATGTACATTAACACTATTCGTGCTGTCGACATGTTTGAACATAAAAGTTTCATTTATTTCAATGTTAAGCAATTGCGGGAATTCCCGTCATCAGCACCCAACGTGTTAAATACTAGTTTAATGTGTCCTTTAATTATTTAGGTAGTTTTATCTTATTCTTGCTGAGCTGGAG